GTTTCCATATGGGCCTGGCAAGTTTTCATATGGCAGGTTTTATTTGTCATTTGCACCTGCATGTGACTGTGTACATATACAACAAATTTTCTTTGACAAGCTTTTGGTTTTCTGACCGACACAAAAACACATACAACAATATAATCGCGCTGATTGCTCGTCTGCATGAAACCGCGGCTTTATAATTATAGGATGAAGATTTGAGGTTGGGACGAATTATGAACTGATATATTTCCCTGTTTTTTTTTAGATTGGGTACTATCTAGGCTTTAATTCGTTCAGCATCGTGTTTGCATTCCTTGTGATATTCTGTCATTCCATCGCCTCGGTCCACTTCATTCATCAGATCGATTCTGTAAATAGAACATCGGTCAATTCCAGTAATTCCAGCAACATGACATCTAGGCCTACAACAACCGGTATATTTAACTATATCATTCTACATCGTGAATAGACCTTTCCCCTTTTGAGTGAAATTTTGATCTAGACAAGTCAATACAAAATGACTGAAAATTGAAAATTTAGAAGGGCTATATTATCCACATTTTACAACATTTCGCAACGAAACTTCGGAATATTACTAACTTTGTGATGCTCTTTCAAGCTGTGATGAAATTGTTGTCCAGGCATATCTAGATCAAAATTTCACTCATAAGGGGAAAGGTCTATTGAAAGGGACCAAAACGACCCCGTAAACTCGTTCTGGGGTGAATTTTGAGGGGGTTTTTCCCCTTCTCAATGTACACGAACTCGAGTCGTATTGAGCAGTCTCATTTTTATCTTCGCGCTCATCGGTATTAATTATTTAAAAAACTTATATTTCAACTAGTTTCGAGATTATAAATGTATACTTGCTATAAACTTAAAAACAACTGCTGTGCATGAGGGTTTTCGTTGTGTTTTTTTTTCTAAAAAGCGATTAACTTGTTGTTTTTGCATTCGATAAAACTCCGTAGATTTTGAGCCGCCATTTTAAACAGTGGGTGGTCTAAAAAAAGCGCAACAAAAATGAGCAAAAAGCAACGAAAATATTTTTAAAACAATTTGTATTACAGCTCCCATATATAATACTATTGTTTCTGGAAACACCACGTAAATTTATTGCTGCAGAAACAATGGTATCATATGTTTTGTCGCCATGCAAACCTACAAAGAACTTAGCTCCCATGTATAGTTGTAAACAAAACAGTATTTACAAGCTTTAGAAATTTTATTCGTTAGAAATAGTTTTAAAGAACACTGTTAAACAAAACATTTCCTTGTGTTTGACGGGACCGTAGATTCGTTTACAGTCGTGCCAATAGAAGTTCCGAAAAATGTTGACCAATTCATTTCCTAACTTGAAGGAACACCTCCGAACAATTCCTCAACAATTTGATAAGTTCCTTAAAAAGTTCCTAACTTCCTATTTCATTGACCAATCAAATTTTATATTTTATTTTTGAGCAATCTGATTGGTCAATGAAACAGGAAGTTAGGAACTTTTTAAGGAACTTATCAAATTGTTGAGGAATTGTTCAGAGGTGTTCCTTCAAGTTAGGAAATGAATTGGTCAACATTTTTCGGAACGCTTCTATTGGCACGGCTGTAAGTAAAAAAATTTGCTTGTAAACACGTTGCTTGTAAGAACGTTGCATGTAACCGGAACAAGACGGGAAGCCATTTTGTTTTGGTCCGGAAGTGAATAGTGCAAGGATATCCGATTGCAATCAAATTGCGCGAAAAGTGCTCATGCTGACAAATAATTATTTATATCCTTCCAGGTTCCACACCAACTACAACATCGGTGCCAACATTAATCAACTGTGCAAATACAACTGTACCAAACAACTGTACACATAACACCTCCCCTAGTACCACTGGTGCTTCAAAAACACCAACTGGTGGCTCATCGGGACCAAATTGTTACACTCACCAGACATGGAGCGATTACCAAAACGGCATACGTGGTTTTGGCCTGGGAGCTAGTATGATATTTCTATGCTTCGTGGAAATTCTTATGTCATTGTTGTCGTCAGCATGTTGCTGGGTTGCAACTAAAGTCGAGCCCACTAGGGTGAGTAGTTTCTCAACGATGACAATATTAAATTGATAATATTTAAACTATTATTTTGTGTTCCTCAACCGCCAGATACGTTTAAAAAGGTTGCTGATTGTGTAAACTACAAAGTAAAGCTAAAAAAAGTAATTTTGAGAAGAACGCCAAAAAGATTTCAAGTTTTTAACACTTTTCATCGCAAATACGGGACCTTGAAAAAAATTGCCTCTTGTAAATAATGACCTACGATGGCAACTCAACAATGATTTTGTCCCTAGGTAACCAGAAGAAAAGCGACGATTCAGGGAACTGCATCCGAAATGATTGCTGCTTCACAAAGTTTTGAGATGGTCATGCCAAGAAGACGTCATGTAAGTGGAAATGAAGCATGCCTGGATTTGACAATTTTTAACAAGACTTCCTCCAACGTCCGTATATTTCTGGTAGACTATAGTGTGAATAACATGACGTAGCGCGCGAGGGAAGGTGTGACGCATGCAGAGACTTGTCAGCATTGAACCCGGATGCAAGCCAACACAATTCCTAATAAATTTTCTCTTCAAAACTCGACAGAAAATTTTATAGAGCAGAATATAAATATGAATAAATGGCAGAATAGAATAAAACTTAACAAAACTAAATAAAAGCGAATAAAACTAGACAGATCGTAAATCGCAAAGATTTAAAATACCTTTGAGTATTATGAAAAACTATACTGGCGAATTATTTCGGCGTATTAATCCGAGTTTAATGAATACAAGAATATGGGAAACTATTTGTGTAACTTTATCACGACAGCTAAAACGGAACCAATTTTTTAACTGGAAAAAAGTTCCGGCCAGAACCGGAACTTATTTATTAAGCCATATGTTACTTTGTGTCTTCGTCTGCAGCTAGACAAGCAGACACTTCATGTCATCAAGGAGAGAGCTCGCAAATGTTAGAATAAAAAGATTGACAAACGTTAAACGTCATAATGAAGTGTTAATAGTGTATATTTTCCTTGTGTAGTCCAAATTTCTTCCTACTGTGAAGTCCGTTTGATCTATGCTATTCAATAAATAAGCTTGATATTCTGTGTCTCTGAAAACGACAGAGTTCCGGTTCCGGCCATGCTTTTTTATTGGTTCCAGCCGGAACCGGAACTCTGAAAGATCGGGGTTCCGGCCGGAACCGAGTTCCGGTACACCCCTAAGTCGACAACTGCATGTGGATTGAGAGAGGTACGATTATCTGAAAAATTTAAGGAGTGCTTCGACGTTTCGAGGCAATGCCCCTCGTCCTTCGCTCGAAACGTTGAAGTTCTGGTTATATTTTTGAGATAGTTGTGTCTCCAGCTCAATTCGCAGCCGTCTTGTTATCGTAGCTTCACACACTGGTCCAGACCGTTCGAGTTTGTAAGTTTATGAATCTTTTTCAGGGTCGCAATGTCACATCAAATACTTTTAATGTCAACGACAATGAGGTAAGCAGTCATAAGCCGTCCCTCCCCCACCCCCCTCCCCCAAGAAAAATTGATAGGGCGATAAGTTGGGCAGATTTTCAACGTAGATTGGCCCAATAGGAGAAATTTGGTCTAAATATAATATAATACTTTTTGTTTGTGGAAACACCACGTGAATTAATCACCTCGCCATCGGCGAATAATTGTTAAATAATTGTATAAAACTTGCACTCCAAAATTTCCATCTAGAAATGAAACCCTTCACCAAATAAATGTTGTTAATATGTTTTTATTCAGTATGAAATGAGTTCTGCAGGCGCATCACCAACGTCAGATGAATATGAAAGCATCCAGGAAAACGTTTATGAAACTATTCCGGTATGTAAATTTCTGTTGTATTATGTCATGCGTTGAACTCTTCAACTCGTGTACATTGCATAATCCGGCTGCGATAAAACCTGGGGGCTATCCAGACTTTTGTTGCACACGTGGCAACAGCGAGGTCAGTTTCATGAGGTCCACTCGCGTATTGGCCGCTGCGAACGAAACGAGAGAAGCTTGCCATTCGTGCGCGAACTTAATTTTTTTTTTGTGTGTGTGTTTTGATGTTATGTACTCAGGTGAATATAATGTTTTTGATGTTACTCTAACACATTGGTATCGAAGGTATGGACTTAGTTCCGGAATACCACACACTCGAACAGACTTGGCCAATGGCCTCGTAGCTCAGTAATTGGCAGAGCATTGGACTAGTGTCCCAAAGATCGCGGGTTCAATTCCCACCGTGGTCAGGCTAAACGTTTCAGCCTGCCCGGTGTGGAAATACACTCAGAGTAACATCAAAAACATTAAATTATTTGGTTTGTACATTCAGCAAGCAGCAATTTCTAGCGTCATGCAATGAATATAATATTATAGTCTTCGAAATGCGTCATCATTGGTAACCGTCCCGCGGTAATGCTTCACATTATAAGTAGTATCGCAAGTAGTATCGCTAATGAAATATATATCGCAAGTAGTATATATTGGTAATGAAAAGGAAATGACGGAATTTTAACAGAATTTTAAAGGAATTTAGCAATATGCAAACACTGGATACACGTGCGAACAGCGAACATATAAAATGCAGCCATCTTTCTGGTCGGTGTTTGTCAGTTCACTCAGTTGGTTTAAAAGCTACGAAGGTTGGAAGAAGACACAGGTTGCAGAGATTCATCAAACCGGGGCAGATGTATAGTGTTAACTGTTACTAAACTTAAACAAATAGTCAATTTTCCAACGCGTGGTAGTAACACTTTGGACAAAATTTATACCAATCTAAAGAGGTTTTATAGCCCTCCAGTTAAGATGTCCCCGTTTGGTTTGTCTGACCATGCTTCTATTGAAGTTAAACCTCTAGAGCGAACCAATCTACCTAAGCCCAAGATCACCGTGAAGTCAAGGGACATTCGGCCTTCGAAGCGCCTTGCAATGCGTTTGTATCTAAAGGAAGTTGACATTTCAACACTAATTAACAGTCAGAGGTCGTGTGAAGACAAAGTAAAGCTCCTGGAATTAATCATTAATACCGGGATGGACAAGTTACTTCCTCTAAAGTCTAAGACCATTGTAACAAGCGAGCCACCCTGGATCAATCAGTCTCTCAAATGTTTGATTCGCAAGCGCCAGAAAGCTTTAGACCAGGGAGACGAAGTTCTATTTCGCACACTGAGAAATCGAGTAAATCGTGAGCGAAAAATATGCCGTGCTAAGTATTACAAGTCTAAAGTCGAGCATTTGATGGAGTGCAAACCTGCATCGTGGTGGAAAGAAGTGAAAAAGTTAAGTGGAATGACAACTGTCAACTCATCCCAGACAGACCTAGTCTCTACGCTACAGCATATTGGTCGTGATCAAGGAGAGGGAACTGTCAGCAATACTGTCCTTGCCAATGTTATCAATGAGGCATTCCTTGCCCCTATGAGTCATTTTACACCTTTACAAACCGAAGAATTTGTACCAAACAGCCCAGTGTTCGAATGCTGCTGCCTCCAAGTGTCCGAGTTTTCTGTTAACAAGAAACTGTCTACGTTAAATCCAACCAAAGCAAGCGGACCCGACGGTATACCGAGTTGGCTCTTAAAAGACAATGCCGACATATTTGCTGCGCCAGTATCAAATATATTAAACCGTTCCTTTTTGGAAGCTCGACTCCCATCATCGTGGAAATTGGCCAATATTTCACCAATCCCAAAACAAAAGCAAATTCTTGACGTAAATAGCCATCTTCGTCCTATATCTTTGACATCTATCCTCTCGAAAGTTGCGGAAGACTTTGTCGTAGAAGAATTTGTAAAGCCTGCAGTTCTGAAGAAGGTGGATCCAAATCAATTTGGGACGATACCTGGCAGTAACACCACCCAGGCCCTGATCAGCATGCTGCATTCGTGGAATAAAGCAACTGACGGTAGTGGCGCAACTGTCAGGACAGTATTAGTTGACTTTAAGAAAGCTTTCGACTTGATCGATCACCATATACTTGTAGACAAACTAAAATCGTATGATATTCCTGAAAGCATTGTTTTGTGGGTTATTGACTTTCTTACTTGTCGCAAACAACGTGTCAAACTTGGTAACGACTGCTATTCTGAATGGGGAACTATTCCATCTGGAGTTCCCCAGGGTACCAAACTCGGGCCGTGGTTATTCGTTATCATGATAAATGATTTGAAAATCCAAGATTCGGAACTCTGGAAATACGTCGATGACACAACGATGTCTGAAATTGTTGAAAGAAACAACGAATCCAACATACAGGAGAAAGTTGATGAACTTACACGACATATTTCTATTGATAAACTTACGTTAAACGAGTCCAAGTGTAAAGAGTTACGTATTAGCTTCAGTAAATCTCCTCCCGATTTCGATCCTATTACCATCAGCAATAAGCAACTGGAGGTCGTTGAAAGTGAAAACTCCTTGGCATGCAGATATCTATCGATCTTAAGTGGAATAGCCATATATCTGTTATTATGAAGAAAGCGAATAAGCGTTTGTATTTTCTGAGCCAACTAAAACGTTCGAACGTGGGCAGTAAGGAACTTATTACCTTTTACTGTACTTGTATAAGACCTGTTACAGAGTATGGCTGCCCAGTATTTCACGATAGCCTGCCAAATTACCTTGTTAAAGACATCGAAAGAATACAGAAACGCGCGATGCGGATAATATTTCCAGCCTTATTATATGACGAATCTCTCTCCGTTGCTGAGTTGGTCCATCTAGAAGCACGAAGACAGCAACTAACAGACAAACTATTCCAGCAAATTATTAGCGACCCAAGTCACAAATTGAACAAACTTTTACCACCTGTAAACGAATGCCAAATTAAGCTTAGGAAGAAACGACTTTTTAAAAATCAGCTTTTTAAAACAGACCGATATAGGAATAGTTTTATAACTCACAATGCACTGAAAATGCGCACCTAGTTATTGTAGTAGACAATTATAGTCAACTTATACGCACATTGCCATTTGGCTGCAAACTTTTAAAATTTTTAATAGTTATTCTAATTTTAAACTATATGTAATTCTTAGCGTAATTCAGCTTTTGGCTGCAATGCTTTGCAAATAAACCATCTATCTATCTATCTAGTGTGAACTATATGAAGCTGTTTTTTCATCATAAGCAAATTTGTCCGCGCCAAAAGAAAAACGAATTTTGGCATTTGGAAAACAAATATGACTTCTATGATTTTCTTCTACTTTTAGGAATACATGCAGTACTTGGCGCAGCATATTTAATAGTAATTATTTTGAAGGGAGCGGCACTGGAGATTGGTAACGAATTGGCCTCGCTTTCGCGCAAAACACAAATACTTAATTTGAGCGCGTATACGTGTTATCGACCTCACTGTGTCTTACTTATTTGACCAACTAGCCGATAAAAATAAAGTTTATGACAGGACAGAAGTATCGACATCAAATGTAACTTGTAGGAATTTTTCAGTAATTCATGGCTCGTTAATTCTTTGTTTTTTTTAATGTTTTTAATTTTTTTTGATAGCCTATTTCTATACCAGCGCCAACACACGAAGGACCAATAACAAACTGGTATTCAACAACCGCGTGCTAGATGGCATTAATTGTAATTATTGTATTTAATATGCTGAGTAAATTAATGTATAAATAATTAACGCCTTTCTGGATAAAAAGATAATGATACCGATGTAGCATAAACTTCTTCAGAAATGAGATTTAAAAGCTTTTTAAATTAAAAATTATATGAATAAAATTTTAAATATAATTTGTTCTGTAATTTTCGTCAGTATTGATAAGTAAAAATATGTATGAATAATAAATAATAAAAAAGCTGTAAAGTATTATCGCATATTATTATTATTGCAAAATTAAATACTAAATTAAATACCATAACCACTGCTATTTGCGCTAACTCGGATTGTAAAATTAATAGAGAAAACAAAAACCTTGTTCATAAATTGTAAAATCTAAATTCACTTCAAAATCAATTTTAAAATTATATTTCAAATTCAATTTCAAATTCCAGTTCAAATTCAAATACAAAGCCAGTTTCAATATCAGTTTTAATTTCAATTTCAAATTCAATTTTAAGTTAAATTCAAATTCAGTTTCACTTTGAATTTTAATTAATTAATTCAAATTTAATTTCAAATTTAAATTTAATTTCAATTTCAATTTCATAGGTTATTGAACAATTTGTTCCGTATTTCAGACTAGGTCTTAAAAAAACTGTACTGTACGTACGTGTAATTTATATTAATGAAAATGAAAGTATGATGCGAAAGTGAAAAAGATCATATACTTCATTTTGATAACTTTAACGCCCGTATTCTAAAAGCTCACTCACACTCAATGAGTGGAAGTCAATCTGAGCTTCTCTTGAATGTCAATGCTGTTTTTGAATAGCTGAAGGGTGAGTAGTCACATATTAAGGTGCGACACTAACCCTCCAGCTATTCAAAAACAACAATGACACTCGAGAGAAGCTCAGATTGAACTTCCACTCATTGAGTGCGAGTGAGCTTTTAGAATCCTCCCCGTAGCCACACGTACAGATAGCGATGATTAAGTCATATTTGAAATCATCAATATCCTATTTGAAATTGCGTTAAACACTTTTCGGAATCCGATGAGGCAGTTGCATTGCTTGTATATTCGAAATTTAGAAATTTCTCCCATGTATCAACTTTTTCATTTCTTTTGTATTGTTAACCTGCCTATATAAGGGCTACATTGAGGTTCTATATATGATGTTCAGTCAGTAGAATTGATTTATATATTACATTTATATATTCAAAATTCAAAAATTATTAACGTCATGTCGTCATGGACTGTTAAATACTATACACCTGTACACTGAAATTTTTTTTCAAAATCCGTATGGAAATAGTTTGGAACTTAGCTGAAAAAATAGTATGGAAATCCAATTTTCATATACAAATTACAATTTCCATACTATAAGGGTATGGTATGGAAATATTATGGATATACTTTGGATTTAGTGATACAATTCATTTTCTGTTAAAGAATAAACTTAAACCGAAACATCAGACAAACTATAAAAGAGTTTAGTTTTATAATCTGTATCTATATATCTTGCCACACATGAGCAGATCAATGAGATCAACAGGAAACAAATTAAATGTTAATGTGTAGAAATTACTTCAACAGACGTGACCGACTTAGTCTCATGCAAGTGAATATTAAGTATAAGAAAAACACTAGCTTAAAAGATCGTTAGTTGGAGGAAATCGGCAAGTGAAAATCATTTGCACTTAATTAAGTGCAGTTCTCCACTTTTCCTAATCTAATTCTTTATTTGTTAGGCTACATGTATTATTATTATTATTATTATTAAGTCTTTATTAAACATAGCCACAACAGACGTGTGACTTTACATTTAAAATTCTCATATACAAGGTTCCAAAAAAAAAAAATAAATAAACTTAATTATTATTATGTATCTAAGTTAATTATTCTTAGGTAGAATTCTTAAAAAGACTAAGACTAAGTTATTATTATGTATCTAAGTTAATTATTTTAGCTAAAATTATTAAAAAGACACCTATTTAAAAACGACCGTTTGAATCTTTCTGTTTTAACCTTAGGTAAAATGAAATCGTGTTCGCGTTCTCTTAACGGTCTTTGTCTTTTAGGAGGAAGTAGTTCGTATAAAGGGTGGTCTGGGTTGCTACATATTTTTTCAAATAAACTCATGTCTCTTTCTTTAATCACATCAATTATCTGAACATGCACTTTTTGTTGTGTATCCATATCTGTATGCTCGCCTAAGAAATTTATCAATCCGTTCCAGGTACTTCTTTTCAAGTGCAGAACCCCATACTTCGATTCCATAAGAAAATAAAGACATAATAAGTGCGTCGAAGAGAATTGTTAATTTTTTTTTAGAGTAGCCATACCATCTGCATATTCTCAAGATGTGCATTCTCAAGATGTATATCACGTACCAGCGAACTACAGCAGTGATATGTATACAGGTCTACAGCAAATTAAGGTTTAGCTAGACACAAACTATAAATGACTTATCAAGTATTCAGATAATAAATTGTGTATTAATAAAAAAATGTTTGTGATGTTACTCTGAGTGTGTGCATCCGCACCGGGCAAGCTGAAAAGTTTGCCTGACCATGACAGTGGGAATTGTATTTCATTTTATGGAATGTATTTCATTTTTTGGCAGATAGTGTATTTCGAAAAAATTGCGTTGCTCTTTGCCAATCGGAATTGAGAAATTTTTTCATGTATATTATTAGCAACTAAAACATATTTATCCATGAGCCTATCGACAAGCATGGACGTGACTCCTGTGCTCTTGACGTAAAAAAAAGCAAAGAAATTGGTATGACCTTTATTATGAGGTATACATGCAGGAAATATCAATGTAAGAGCCGTATTAACTCCACAGGTATTGCCAAAAAATAGTGTACTGCACGTACCAACATATAGGCAGTCAATATTCCATCAGTTTAGTAATATATATATTAGTATTTTTGCACAAGTGAATATAACAAATCCTACAAGTAGATTGGTCGAATTTTACGTATTAAGCTAGCTGTTACTGTGTTAGCTATATTCACCTACAGGTGAATATATAACAAAACCGAAATTTTCAAAATGGCGGCTAGCCGTTCTGTGGAAGTTACTGATAAAGAAATAAGCGAAATGAAAATAAATTCAGTCCCCCAAAGACTTCTGTAAAAATACTAAAACAATTATTCGCTTCAGCTTTGGTGATAGTTGGGGAATATTCACCTCGACTTCGTCTCGGTGAATATTCCCCGATACAATCACCTCGCCTTCGGCGAATAATTGGTAAATGTTGCAATTATACTCCAAACTGAGTGTTCGCTTGTGATATAAACGTACCAATTTTCACTAATGCTGACGTACATCCTTAAACTAACGGTCTTTAGTTCGGTGGTTTTCTTAATTGAGACCTAAGCCGGTCACGTCTGTTGAAGTAATTTATTCACATTAACATTTTATTTGTTTCCTGTTGATGTCATTTATCTGATCATGTGTGCCAAGATATAGATACTTGTTTTCTTGTTGTATATCTAGATTATAAAACTCTTTTAATAAACCCAAATGGACCTATTCCCTAATGAACAAAATTTTGATCCAGACTACAAGTCACGGGAAATTGATACCGCTTTCTGAAAAAAGGTATCAATTTCCCGCGCGTAATAGAAAATGACTGAAAAACGGCAAATTTCGCAGGGCTATATTATCCGCATTTTACAACATTTTGCAACGAAACTTCGGAATATTACTAATTTTGTGATGCTCTTTCAAGCTGTGGTGAAATGTTTGTCTAGACTTGTCTAGATCAAAATTTTGTTCATTAGGGAATAGGTCCATTCAAATTGAGCAATACCTAATATATCTTAAGTGTTTTTTTCCGCGTTGATAATATATTTTAATAAAGATATATGCGTGTAAACATGTAGGTGTGACCACAACTTAACAAGTGGAATGGGAACAGTTTATTTCGGGACCAATTGTTGAACCTGTTTCAGCGCAAAACAAGAATTAAAACCACAAATAAAAGTTTTTGGTTTTTATTTACAAATTACAAAACAAAAACAACGCATTATGGAATAGGAACAATTTTACCTTGCACTTAAGAAAGATCCCAAAATAGAAAATGACAATAATAACATTAGAGAAATTAAAATATATCATTTCTGGTACAGTTTTCTCATTCTTTTTCGATTCGTTAAAGTCAGTCTTGCATGGATTATTGTCCACTAATTGAGGCTTATAATTATAAAGTAACGCACATTGTACGAAAACCCTTGTTTGTCTATGATAACTGAACCGAATGTAATTGTCTACTAGTTCCTATAGTATAGCCGTAGGCTATTTATGAATTTTTTATCAAAGAGAATCTGAATGCACATAGATGAACACTTAGTCTAGTATAATAGCTACAACCCTAAAATTGAATTTGAGACAAACAATTTATTAGGGGCGTTTAACCATTTTCATTTTTGATTGGAAAGTAAAATTTAAAGTATAAAATTAGTTGAGAAGTATAACGTTCGTTGACTTCCAAGTTGCAAGTAACACTATGATATGTGTATTATATAATAACTACAGTGAAACACGCAATTTGATTGGTGAATAGCCGTGCAGGTTATATATAAGGCTATCCTGCACGATTCTCAAAATGTCATTGTTTCACTGTAGTTATTTTATAAAACAATTACCAAATGGTTTTCCAAGCAGGATAGCGTGATCCATGCACTTGGGATGCTGCTCGACTTTCGGAAAGCGTAAAAATACACTCACCTGCGGCTCGAGTATTTTACGCTTCTGAAAATCCTTCATGCCTCGTGCATCATGGATCACGCAAAGTGGATCACGATCATCCCTCGTGCATCATGGATCACGCAATCCTGCACGGAAAACCATTCGGTATTCCTTTAGTGTTGCGTGTGTAATATGACCGCTAGCTGCGTGCGAAATTGGCACAAAAAGACCTTTTAGATTTAGGCCGGATGAAACGAGGATGAGAGTGTTTGAGAGTTGGCAGTCACTCGACCTTGGTTAGCTGTTCTTAATGCTTTCCCAACACTATCATGGATTCTATTTAAGTCAAAACGTACACACGAAAAAATGTCACAACTTGTCAACAAGATGTGCTCGCAATAGGCTTGTAGCAAGCTTCTCAAACGAGTTCTAACAATGCTGTTATTTTATCAAGTTGCTACAAGCTTGTCACTGGCAACTTGTTGACAAGTTGTTGAATTGCAGGACGATAACAAGTTGTTGGAACAACTTGTAACAAGTCTGTTGAACTCAACAACCTTGTAGCAAGTTGTCAACAAGCCGTTGACAACTTGTCAGCAAGTTGGGAACAAGCAGTGCGAACACATCCTGTTGACAAGTTGTTGGAACAGCATTGCTACAAGTCTGCTGCAGGTTTGTTACAACTTGTGCATTTTTACGTTTGTAGTTGGAACACTCATTCAATTAATCATATTTATGAATATTATGAAATACATGCATGCATGCCATTATACTTATATTCCATGTCTCCTTTGCAGAGGGATTTAATTTAAACTGGCCCAGGCTATATACCCGTAAAATGTGACCGACTGCGCGCCAGGGATGAAGGAAAGAATGGAAAAAATATAAGATGCACGGTTTTTTGTAGACTTTTGAGTTTTGAGGGATTAAGTGAGCAGAGAAAGGAAGAAAGAGGGTTAAAACAATTATTGTATAAAGACGTCAAAGTATAGAGAAGTCGACTTGCCAGATTTTGATAAATTTTCTACAACGTTTTGCATTCATCGCCCACGGTGTGTTTTTGTTTGAACATGTCCTTGCACAACAAGTCTTCGACTTGCTATCTTTCCATCATTCTAACGAAGCTTATCAATGAATTATGTCTTATCTCTTGTATTGGGCAAGCATATTGGAATACAGCATGTCTTAGCTTCCGTCTTAGCAGCACATGCAAGATTTGGAAAATATTCCTGCAATATTGCCATATTGATATCCAAAAATGTTTGGAAGTGTTTTCATGCAACCCTTCATAACCTAAATGGATGCTCTTGCCTTTTTCTTGCTTCTCTTCTGCAAATATGCAGAGTCAAGCGACTTTCTTGGAACTCATTTATTTTCTCACGAAATTCAAAATCATATCAGTTTTATCGTGCACATTTTTCAATACTAAACCACTGAAAATTTGGATATTGTGCGAGAGCGAAAAATTTGGATAGAAATTATTTCAAAAAAATAAAGCTAAGTTTTTTACTCAGAGGATCAGCTCTTTGCCTTTGATGCATGTATGGAAAGTCCCTCCCTAATTATCTAGCTAACCCTCGGTTAAAATTTAACCCGCTGTTTTAGTGTTTCTGAACGTATGTTTATTTCAAAACTTCAGAGGGAAAACTCCTGCTGATTCAGACAAGATTTCTGAAGAAATATTTCCAAATTTATAAACAAGCTCGGTTGGGAACTTTGCTTTGAATCTTATAGGTAAACCTTGGGTTAAGCTACGAATCGGGATTTGTCAATAGATGATACAGACAATAGCAAAATCTCGCCTGTAAGGAGCTGCCTTTTTCAGTCTCAAACAAACGAGTTTCATCAGCTCGTACCCAGGCGCTTTGGTATGCTTACGCCATCGCGTGACGCGGAATTAACTTAAGGGGGTTGCATGTAAACACTCGTTCGTTCTTCCGATATGAATATGGCAATGTCAAGGTCATACGTTGATATGGATCTGCATGAAGGTGAAACAATTTAGAACGGTTACAGCTATCAAATGTAAAAGAATTTATCAATGATACTATGTCTGATCGAACTGTGTGTGTGTGTGTTTTATATGTATGTAAATATGAAGTCAGCCCCTAGATAAGCAAGCAGTAGCTCTTGTGGCAAACTTTTTTTTCAAATTAAATATTTATTATACAAAACATATATAATATATTTAATATATATTATATAGTATTACATTGACATCGATCACAGAAACGTCATTTGAGTTTGACTCAATGATATAAATGTGGAACATAAGGGTAAAAGCTCATTTAATTTGGATTTTCAGTAGACAGTAGTGACAAACTGTGAAAACATGGGGAGTATATAAAATAATATAGTTGGAAATTGATGTAATTTTCAGAAGAAGGGTTGCTTTAGCCAGACTTGAAACAACAATTTCTCCTTAGCAACTAGATTTTATTTATTACATTTTTAATATACTGTATATATTTTTTCCCGTTAAACTGGTTTTAATATTTTATTTTTAATTCAACCCAACCCCTTTCACTTCGTTACACTTATACATTAATTCCGGTTTAATCTATTTATATGAAGAGCCCTTGATAGTCGGTGGATCAAGGGATGTGCTAGCTTGTTTCAAAACAAAGCTCTTGCTATTTTACTTTCAACGCTTTGATACCCAATATCATGCACTTTTGCATTAATTATATATAACACGAATTTGCTTCAAAACAGAAAAAAACGACCGACGAAATATCATTTTGGAAACCAATGGCAGGAAAATAATGATGTTATAGTTTTAAAATCTCTGATTTTCTATTGCGACTCTTAAATGTTTCCGGAGACCACTGTGTTTGAAAATGAACTTCCAAAGCCGGAATTAAATATTCAATTTGAAATATTACTTTG